TCTGCTCAAGGCTTTTGACTTCAAAGCTGCATACCAATCTCAGGAGTGATAGCAAAAGAAAGGATGAGAGGAAAACAATGCAACAGGCATTAACTAATTATTAACCATTTCCAAAGAGTACACAGAACAGATCTCCGAATGGGAGACTCCATATGTAAAATGTGAGCCACAGTGCCTGGCACAGGGTAAGTGCTTGATAAATATTAGCTGGCATTATAACTAGTATTATTATTTCACTGTACTCTATTGGACACTGCAAGGATAATTCCAGAATGTAAACAGGTGATGAGATAAGAAAATTTTGAAAATTAGGAAGGAGGGATGCCTGCATGACTCAGATGGTTAGGTGTCTGCCCCTGGAGTCCTGGGATGGAGCCTGGCACTGAGCTCCCTGCCCAGCAGGGAGTCTGCTTCTTCCTCTGCTCCTCCCTCAGTTCCTGCTCTCTCTCTCAAATAAATTAATAAACTATTTTTTAAAAATGTAAAAGAAACTAACAATGAACAGTACTACAGAATAAGAGTCATCATTACAGAGGACTTGCTGTGTCCAGCCACATGCTTGGGGTACTACAGATATCATCTCTGCATCCTCACGGTCATGGGCACTATAGATGCTATTATTATCCCCATTTTACAGATGACGTGTATAGACCGATAAGACAATCTGTAAGTAATGTTTACTGCACTGAAGCAAAGTCTTAGAAACTTTTTCTCGAAGCTAACAGTATTTCAATGAAGGTAACTTATGTTATTAAGGTCAGATCATGGGTGATGTTTTGTTTTGTCTTGGTTTTCCAAACTCTTCAGTATTTTACATTCTACTAACTTTTAAAGAAAATAGATACATCTTTAGAAATACCTCTTGTTTTATCTTTGCCAGAGCTCTCTTATCTTAGAGTAAAACACTGAGAGTTCTTTATAAAACAATAAAATGGAGAAGGAGCGATAACATTTACTAGGTGATGACCAAGAGCCAGGCACTGTAAGAGTTGATTTATCTGCATTATATTTCATCCTTACCTAAAGCCTATGAGGACAGGTATATTTTTCTCCACTGCCTGAAGAAGGAAACAGAGACTCTGAGGTTGCACTGAGCTTGCCAAAGAGTTAAACTGTTGGGATTGAAACACATCTACAATATCTGGGCTCTCTCTCCACTGTATCTCCCCCCAATTATCAACTGTGCCTTTTCTAACAAGGATATAAAAGTATGGATTCAATCTAATGTGTATGGGGAAAAAGGAACTTCATTTTCAGAAAGCGGTGATAAACACCAGAGAGGAAAGGAAAGGTGTGAGCCTCCTGTTATCTCGGTGCCAGTTCTGGCTCGATCTCTAGCAGAGCACTAATCTCAGAACTGCCACATGTATGCAGCAGCGCTGAGAAGAATGCCCCTTCAGACACCAGCAGATCATACTCTTGGGCCTTATTGCTTTTTTTTGTTTTTGTTTTTGTTTTTGTTTTCCAAATTTTAGAAAAGTCTTTAGAGCTCATCTATTCAGTACTGCCATGATTCCTGTCACCTTAAATACTTTAAAAGGATGCGTGCCCACCCAGCTCTGAAACATTTCACAGGAACAAGGATTAAAAAAATTCCACTGGCAACTGATACTTAGGCTTAACCTCTCATGCTAGGAAGTGTTCCAATGTCTTCAATCTGTTGACCTCACTTCAAGTGAAATTCCTGGGCAAAACAGAAGCAGCCTGGTAATCGGTCCCCAGAGGGCAGCATTTCATATTCCCAAACAGACCTAAGTATTAGTTTGGAATTACTCTCCTGAAACCTTCACTCACTTATTTATTACTATGTTACTGCTTCCCTTGTATCTTCAAACAATAAAGATCCAAAATGCACAAAACCTGTACAAAAAAAGACCAACTTGAAGTTTGGATATACGACTCAGGACTGCACTAAATTGCTGATTCATGTTCATCTTGGGATGAGCTAAGAACTTTGGATTTTTTCACCTGGTTACTAAGCATCTTAACATCATGCGATTTGTTCTCTTCCTTCAGTAAAACTGCACATCTCCTTTTTGAAATGCTTTCTTTTGGTTTTATGACACCCTGTTAGTCTTTTAAAATCCAAATAGTCACTGATTAACAATTCATCCAGAAAACATTTATTTTTCTTCTTTTTTTTTTTTTTAAGATTTTATATATTTATTTGACAGAGATCACAAGTAGGCAGAGAGTCAGGTGGAGAGAGAAGGGGAAGCAGGCTCCCTGCAGAGGAGAGAGCCCGACGCAGGACTTGATCCCAGGACCCTGAGATCATGACCTGAGCCGAAGGCAGAGGCTTAACCCACTGACCCACCCAGGCACCCCGAAAACATTTATCTTTTAAAAATATTTAATTTATTTATTTGAGAGAGAGAGAGGGCATGAGCAAGGAAAGGGGCAGAGGGAGAGGGAGAAACAAGACTCCCCACCGAGCAGGGAGCCTGATGCAGTAGTCAATCCCAGGACCCTGGGATCATGACCTGAGCCGAAGGCAGACGCTTAACAGAATGAACCACTCAGGAGCCCCTCATTCAGAAAACATTTAAAGACCACTTACTCTATACCAAGCACTGTGATAGTCTCTGGAGAGACAAAACTAAGATCCCTGTCTTTGAGGAGCTAAAGGTCTAAATGTGGAGATAAAGATATAAACAGATGATTTTCATACACTGTTTTCAGTGTTTTCGCAGAGGTATGAACTCGTGTTGTGAAAGGTTGGCGGGGACTGAGAGAAGACTGCTTTGAGGTGACACTCAGGCAGGATCATTAAGGATCGGAAGGAGTTAACCAAGCGTTGGAAGGAAGTCATTCCAGGCATGTCTGGTTAATTGCGAGAGCAAAAGGTTCCTGTGGGAAGGTGGTAGAAATTGAGAACGGAGAGGTGGGTTTAGCATCTCTCTCTGCGGATGAGCTATTTAGTGATGGGTATGAAATGTAATAATGATTATTTTTAGTGCATCTATCAACTTTTTGATAAGGATGACTTGGTCCTAAACTGAATTTTAAAGAATGTAATTTTTCAAATTGCTGTGGTTGATATTAATTATTTTTAATAACGACCTTCCAAACACTTTACATCCATACAGCATTATAATCTATAAGAATTTATTTTGCTAATGAAATGTCATGCCTGCTTCTTCATATTAACCACAGAACACCAATAAAGCAAACTCCAGGAACGCTAACCACCACAAGGACTACCATCCTCAGACTACCCTTGAGTGAATGGAAAACACATTGCTACTCCTGAATCACTTAGCCATAAATGGTGAGAAAGTCCATTTCTATCTTTAGTCTATTAGAAGAGGGCATTGGCACATCACAATTGATTTTCAAGAAATGGAGAGAAGTAGGTTTAAAAAAAAAATGAATAAGATGGGAAGAGTGAGTCCCGGCATGTCCTGGGTGCCCAGGCACAGCAAGACAGAGGAACAAGCTGCTCCCTAAGAACAGTTATTCTGTAATACCAGTTCTTCCATTTGACCCAAGAAATGATAGCATTGCTCTGACAATATTTCGCAGGCTAGTATCACAGTCTTTAAGCAGCTGGATTTCTCCTGCCAAAAAGTATCAGGATAGAGAGCACACTAGTCTTGAACAATAGTAGAACTGAAGGACAGGGTGCCTGGCTGGCTCAGTGGGTTAAGCCTCTGCCTTCAGCTCAGGTCATGATCTCAGGGTCCTGGGATCAAGCCCCGCATCGGGCTCTCTGCTCAGCAGGGAGCCTGCTCCCCCCGATTCTCTCTCTGCCTATTTGTGATCTCTCTGTCATAAATAAATAAAAACTTAAAAAAAAAAAAAAAAGAACTGCAGGGAAAAAATGAGTTTAAGTGTCACAGTGACTTTTCATTAAATTAAAGCTTTCAAACAACATTCATTCATTCATTCATTTAAAAAAAGTAGGCTCCTTGGGGCGCCTGGGTGGCTCAGTGGGTTAAAGCCTCTGCCTTCGGCTCGGGTCATGGTCTCAGGGTCCTGGGATTGAGCCCTACATCGGGTTCTCTGTTCGGCGGGGAGCCTGCTTCCACCTCTCTCTCTCTCTGCCTGCCTCTCTGACTACTTGTGATCTGTCTGTCAAATAAATAAATAAAAATCTTAAAAAAAAAAAAAAAAAAAAAGTAGGCTCCGTACCCAACATGGGGCTTAAACTCACAACCCTGAGATTAAGAGTCATATGCTCTATGGAATGAGCCAGCCAGCCAGACACCCCTCAAACAATATTTAAAAGAAGAATTAAGAAATACAGCTAGAGTAGACAGGTTCTTAGGGAAAATCAAAGATGAAAAGATGTTAATTAAGGGATAAGAGATAAATGTTTTTCCTTAAAGACGAACCCTAATGATATTTTATCCTTATATTACAATTAGTAATAATAAGCCTTGGTAAGAATATTTGTCACTTTTGGGGCGCCTGGGTGGCTCAGTGGGTTAAGCCGCTGCCTTCGGCTCAGGTCATGATCTCAGGGTCCTGGGATCGAGTCCTGCATCGGGCTCTCTGCTCAGCGGGGAGACTGCTCCCCTTCCTCTCTCTCTGCCTGCCTCTCTGCCTACTTGTGATCTCTCTGTCAAATAAATAAATAAAATCTTTAAAAAAAAAAAAAGAATATTTGTCACTTTTAAAAATAAGACTATGATAGGGGCACCTGGGTGGCTTAGTTGACTAAGTGTCGGCCTTCAGCTCAGATCATGATCCCAGCATCCTGGGATTGAGCCCCACATTGGGCTCCCAGCTTGGCTGGAAGCCTGCTTCTTCCTCTGCCCCTCCCCCCTGCTTATGCACAAGTGCGCAGCTCTCTCTCTCTCAAATAAATAAATAAAATCTTAAAAAAAAAAAAAGAATATGATAGAAATAGATATACCTGAACACACTACAATATACCACAACATAAGAAATCCATAAAATCTTTCAAGAAAGCTCAATTATTTTATCTTGGAAGAGGAAACGATGAACCTGTCTTTGAAAGTGAATGTTAGATTGATTTTTTAAAAATCTTTTACCTGATTTAGATAATTTAGGCACTTTTCAAGACACCAAAGGCAACAAATGCAAGATTTCAGCACACATCGAGCACAAGCATTTTCCTGGGAAGGACAAAAATTTGAAATAATTAAAAACCAAAGAATCAGATGATCATACAGAAAATTCCAAATGTTAGAAAAATAAATAAAAGTTAAAAAAAAAATCAAAACCTATGTTTCAAGGCCTCTACACCCACACCCTCTTTTCCCTCAAAATGTAATAGCTGAATTAGTTTTAATCAATTTAATTCAACAGCTAGTTAGTACCTACTGCATATAAGATAGAGTAAGGTATCTAAGACCAGAAAGGAACTTATACAACTGTACAAGAAAAAAAAATGCTAAATATAAAAAAAAGGTTAGAATCAGAATATGCAGTAGATCCTAGTGTGATGAGAGTGGAACACAGAGATGACATCATCAAAGAGGAGGAGTAATCAGGGAAGGCTTCTGGGAAGAGGTGTCATGTGAGCCAACCTGTGTTGAAATGCATGTTATCTCCATAGTCAGGGACAAGGAGCAGGCTCTAAGGAGGAGGGTGTGAGTCAACACAGAGGAAGAGAAGCAAGGGGTACTTTGCCAAACCAGTGATATGATGGATTTGCCAGAGCATATAGAGAGCAAGAATAGGGGATAAGGCAGAAGGGCTGGATTCTGTTTGCAGGGATTTTGAAGAAAACATTCACAGGTATGGACTTAACATCACTGGGAGCTTTACACATACAGAGCTGAGGTCTGGAGTGTGACAACCACAGAAAGCCCAAAAATGTTTTTTCTCCTTACCTTTCCTTTGAGCTGACTGTGCATGTACATAAGGATCATTCGTGGAATTTTGACTAATGTGATAATGAAAGATCCTTTTGCCACCGTACCCAGGTGATAACGAATAAGGCGATTCACTGATGCCAAAATAGGTGTAAATGGCAAATTCCTTTTATCCCTATTTAAAAAGTAACCAAAAAGACAGTTAAAACAAAGCCCAAGTACAGGAATGGTTTAAGCCCAATGCAGTGAAAAAAATCAGTTCATCTAAAAAAAATTCTAGCTTTGTGGCAAAATGGCAAAGTAATATATAGCTAATACAGATGCTACTGATGTACCAAATAAAATTAATGCTTCATTTCTCTATGGTAGTTTCATGGGGTTCTTAGGCTCTAAGACTTTAAGTAAAATGAAACTGTGCTTTGAAAGTTTTTCCTCATAAATACTTACGGAATTAAATATACAACCAAATGTACAACCAAAAAATGGAACTTAAAAAAAATGTTTAGGGTGACAATCGGTTAGGCGTCCAGCTCTTGGTTTCAGCTCAAGTCCTCATCTCAAAGGTTGTGAATCAAGCCACATGTTGTTTCCATGCTCAGTGTGGAATCTGCTTAAGACTCTCTCTCCCTCTGCCCCTCCCTCCCTGCTCTCTCTCTCCCAAATAAATACATAAATCTTAAAAAAAAAAAAAAAAAAAAAAAAAAAGATGTTCAATCTAGACCTGGTACCTCATTGTAATAGAAAATTGTAAGGCTTACAGCTTATATTCAGCTCTGAAGTTAGGAAAGGGAGTCACAATACTTATTGTGATCCAAACAAATTAAAAAGGTGTGTTATTCTTTGACGGATCCTTAAGTTTTTTTTTTTTTAAAGATTATTTATTTTAGAGTAAGAGCACAAATGTGAACGGCAGAGGAAGAAAGAAGGAGCGAGAATCTTAGGCAGATTCTCCGTGACATGGGGCTCCATCTCACGACCACGAAGACCATGACCTGAGCCAAAACCAAGAGTCAGAGGTTTCGCTGACTGTACCACCCAGGGGCCCCAATGGAAAAAGAACAGAAGACAGTATAAGATTTATTCTTCTGCTAAATATAATTGCAGTGATATCATGACCTGCTGTTCTGATTAATTTTTTTGAGGAACTTAAAGAAAAGTATAAAGATTAAAGTAATAATCTCCCATGTTCCTACTGCCCAGAATTATCAGGTATAACATTTTGTCATATTCACTTCCAACCGCTTTTTAAAGACATGAAACTTGGTGTGCCTGGGTGGCTCAGTCGTTAGGCATCTGCCTCTGGCTCAGGTCATAATCCCAGGGTCTTGAGATCGAGCCCCACATCAGGATCTCTGCTCGGTGGGAAGCCTACTTCTCCCTCTCCCACTCCCCCTGCTTGTGTTCCCTCTCTCACTGTGTCTCTCTCTGTCAAATAAATTAAAAAAAAAATTAAAAAATTAAAATTAATTTTAAAAAAAATTTAAAAATTAAAAAAAGAAAAGAAAAGAAAAGACATGAAACTCTTACAGCCTCACCTCCATGTCCTTCAGACACAATCCCTTAGATGATCTAAAGTTTTCTGACGAATATAAATTCTCACCTAGTAAAATAGTATGTTACCACGGCCCCCGCCACAGTCATCTGCTGACAGGCCAGGATGAATTCGCTGATCCATATCAGGCCCACCGCGTGGAACCACCACATGTACTGCAGAGGCCCAGAAACTCTGAACTCCACAAAGCCTTGCTCATTCTGAACAGCACTGCCTAGGAGAATATCAAGGAAGGAAGAGAGAAGCACATACAGCACAAGCTAAGAAATAGGGCTATTCAATGTAAGGCATTAATCTAATTCCCAACGACAGCCCCCTCCCACCCCCTCCACCCCTCTAATGCCCCCCCCATCCCCCCAAACCACCGACTTTATGATCATGGTGCTACTGAATTAGGAGACAAAAATAATTATCAGTTGAAAAGCTGTGAAGCCAGACATTATACAATGAAGCATTTTGTTTTCCCTGAAGGCATCATATAGTTTTTAAAAGGTCTTCTATTTGAATACAGTCCTTTACCACATCAGTTAATTTAGGCATGAATTTTCAAACACTTTATTTATTTTTTTTTCAGAGCTATTTATGACTCACCCAATAATTACAGACCTAAATCATTAGCAATGGATGGGAATTCATATTATTTTCAATTGGTGAATGTTGCTGAATGGCCAGAGAGGTCACATACAAGCCTACGATCCTTATGCCACTCCTCACCATTAATTCCATTTAGGGGTCACTTTTGATATGAAGTGTGGTTGCAAGCAAGTCTGAGACTCTAACTATGAATGGTATCAACTCTACTTAGGTTCAGATCTTTTGCAAACTAGAAAATCCCAAGGAAGCAAGATGATCTTTGGCTGTAACTGGGGTTTAAGGCAACCCCACAGCCACCCTGCATTCATCTGTTTGTCTGAGAATGAATCCAAATGTGTGAATCAGTCCTGGAGTATACTTCAAAGCCATGACCTGGTTTAGACCCACTCTGCTAGGATGATCTAAAAATCACACACAGGGAATGGGTTGGTGAAGGGCTGTGACCACTACTAGTTCTGAGGGCGATCAGACCTCAGTTATAAATGACTGAGAATTATACCTTAAGTTTTAAAATAATTTAACACGAATCAGATTCATCACCAAGAGAAAGAAGCAGCAGGTCTTCTTACCAGCGGTGCCAAGAAAAAGAAGTGTCATGATCCAGTATGCCCAAAATAAGACAAGAGCAAAGAAAGTCCAAAAGGGTTGGAAGACTAGCAGTGGCAAGTGAATGAAGACCTTGCCAGCCACGTGGAACAGGGCGATGGTGAGAGCAACGCGCTTGCGCATGACCAGCATGATCAGGAACAAGATAACCTGTGTCCAGAGAAGGCAGAGAAAGGCTCCCGTTAGCGTCTTGGGCAGTGAACACAGGAACCGAACAATGGCGGACATTTTTAACATAACCCTTCCTTTCAAATGGGGGAAGGACTATTATTCTCTGAATCCCCAAAATACTTTATCAGTCTTGCGGCACTTAGCGCTCTCGTTTGTACACTGAAAATATCCTTAAAGCTAAACATAAAAGGATTTCTCAATTAATAAATCCTAGAATTCTCCTACTTTACTTTCCTACTCATTATGAATCAAAATGGGCTGTTTATCAGTTGGGATGAGGCTCTGAATTTATCTGGATAGATACACACCTGTCACTCTGAAAACAGGGGAGAAGACAATACACCCTGATTACGAAATCAGAGGCCGTATTTGTGCCTCACCTCCTTTATTGGACCAAGAGCCCCTACACAGCAGGGTCGATGTCAAATTCCCTGCCCTGCATACCCTCACTCGGCCCTGGGTGAGGGCGGGTGAGGGATACTTTAAATTTAAAAAAAAAAAAAAAAAAAGAGAGAGAAGAAGAAGAATTGTACTTAAAGATGATTAATACATATTTAGATAATAGTAACAAACAAATACCTTTTGGGACCAATGGTTTTGTGTGGCTTTTTTAATTTTTAAAGCTCAATTAAAAGCTTGGGATTGGTCTGAGAAGTGTCTGAGATTTTTTTTTCCTTTTATCACTGAGGAGAAGATGAACTGAAGATATGAGTACAGATTATTTAACCACATGTTCATTGGTAATTTGCTGTAGAGTGCCTAGCCAGCAGGGCTCACGGACTTGGAATAATGTTGTTAAAAGTTGAAAAGGCAAAAACGGGAAAATAATTAGTGAACAAGCAAAAGAAATGATATGAAGTGGTGTGTTTCTTAACATACTTTAGGAAAGAAAACTATTTTTAGGGGCACCTTGGTGGCTCCGTTGGTTAAGCGGCTGCCTTGGGCCCAGGTGATGATCCCGGGGTTCTGGGATCAAACCCCTCATCAGGCTCCTTGCTCAGCAGGGAGCCTGCTTCTCCATCTTGTCCCCACTTGTTTTCTCTCTCACTATCTCTGTCTCTGTCTCCCTCAAATAAATTAATTAATTAATTTAAAAAGAAAAAGGAAACTTTTAAAAAAGGAATTATACTACGACAGTAAGATAACATGTTCTTACAAATGATAATGTAAATATTCTAGGCGAAACTCCTCTCGCAACAGGCAGGCAGTGCAGAATAAAAGGTTGCATCAAATAACACTCATCAATTAGGGGAGCCTTCTGAACACTTGTTAGTGTCCCACACCGTGGGACAGAGATTTTCTCTCATGGAGGTCAGGGTGAGGCATATGCAATAGCTAAGTGAGGTTCTGCTCCATTCATGATCCCTGTGAAGAAAAATGTAAACCTGAAGGATCCCCCCAAGCCCCTACTCACTGTGAACACTGTGGCTGAAATGGCATAGATGAGGAGGGCCCGAAGATTGTCTTCAGCTATTTGAAGCTGCTCAGGAATCACAGTTTCTTTGGGAGACCTTCTTTGCTTTGCATACAGCCACCACAGTACCCCTGTGCCACCTGGGTTCAAAAACCAATTGTTTTGGAAATAAGTAGCACGAGAAAATGCATAACATAAATCTGCCCTTTCCTGGATCTTTCCTACACATCACTGTGGGACTGACACAGCAACAATCTATTTGGCTGGGTGGGGGGGTGCGTGGCTGTAACTTTTTGCAGACGTAAGGGGAGTTCCAATTACTCCTTTCTCATCGTTCACACTAAGTACTCAGACATATTCCAGCGTATCAAATAAATGTCCTTCAGCCATATTTATTATTTTTTTAAAGATTTTATTTATTTATTTGACAGACAGAGAAAAAGCACAAGTAGGCAGAGCAGCAGGCAGAGGGAGAGGGAGAAGCAGGCTCTCTGTGGAGTAGGGAGCCTGATGTGGGACTCGATCCCAGGACCCTGGGATCATGACCTGAGCTGAAGGCAGCACTTAACCGACTGAGCCCCCCATGCGCCCAGCCATATTTATTATTGACACTGAAGCTCAGAGAGAGCCAGCAAAGACAGGTACCCCTGAGAGGAAGTGATCATGAAGAGAGAGTCAGAGCCTGTTGGGACCTGAGGAGCTTGTAGGAAGCAAGTAAGGGTCACAGAAATCAGTAATGAAGCTGAGGACTGAGGAAAGGAAAGATCCTCTTTGTTGTGCTATCACAGTAACCCCAGTGCCTCCTGCGGAAACAGTCATGCAGCTGATACAGTATTTGTACAACGAGCAAATGAAGATGAAAGGAGTAATTCCCACCAAAAGCAGGAACAAAGATAGGAGATCTTTGATAGCTTGCTAGCAGTGTGTGCTAGGATGGGAGTTTTTCTCCCTGTCACTGGTTCAGAGATCCCAAGAGCTAAACTGTAGAGGGGGGCAAACTCTCCACCACATGAGCACTGTATCAGACACCTTCATTCTGAGTGCTCAGAGCATCGACTGTTCTAGGTGCTGGGGACAGAGCTGTGAACAAAACCAAGTCCCCACCCTCCCCCCTCACGGAGCTTATATAGTCGTAAGGAAACAAAACAAATAAGGAAATAAGTAAAAATAGAGTATATGACGTCTAAAGAAAAATGTAACCTCTTAATAGGGATAGAAAGTGCTGGGGTTGGGAAAGCATTGTAATAGGATGGGTAAGCAAGGTCTCACTGGTGAGTTGGTATCTGAGCAAAAGAATCAAAGACAGGCCAAAAGCAATCTATAAAATTATCTAAGAAAAGGATGTTGCAGGCAAGGGTAATAGCAAATTCTAAGATGCTGAGGTGGGACCCCCACGTGGCAGGAGAGAAAGGAGGCCACCATGGCTAAGCAACAGCAAGGAGCAGTAAAAGCTGTGGGCAGAGGGGCTCTAGGGACCAGATCCTAGTGGAAGGCCTTGTAGGCTACAGCAAGAAAATGGAAGATTCAGAATAAAGATGTGTATGTGTCGGCAGACAAGATAAATGCCTGGGAGAGGAGAAATTGGGCTCAGAGATATGCAAATCAACCTGATCCCCACCTGCACTCAAGTAAACAGTGAAGAGTGTCAAAGGGAAATGCCACCCCTGCCTGGTGGCAGTGAGCACGAATTTTTTTCCATTGAAGATGAATAAACAAATTTAAAACAACCACGAGTCTATGAAAAACATTTGAAAAAGGGAAGTACTTCCATTTTGAAATCTTTTTTTTTTTAAGATTTTTATTTATTTATTTTGAGAGAGAGAGAGAGAGAGAGCATGAGAGGGGAGGTCAGAGGGAGAAGCAGACTCCCTATGGAGCTGGAAGCCCAATGTGGGACTTGATCCCAGGACTCTGGGACCATGACCTGAGCCGAAGGCAGTTGCTTAACCAACTGAGCCACCCAGGTGCCCCCGAAATCTTTTTTATTTTTATTTTTTTCAAAGCTTTTATTTATTTACTTGAAACACACACAGAGAGAGAGAGAGAGAGAGAGCACAAGCAGGGGGAGTGGCAGGCAGAGGGAGAAGCAGGCAGCCCAATGTGGGACTTGATCTAAGAACCCCGGGATCATGACCTGAGCCGAAGGCAGACGCTTAACCACCTGAGCCACCCAGGCGCCCCTTCCATTTTGAAATCTTAAAGAAAACTGTCATAGCCTCAAAAAATGGAGTAAAATATGTTCTCCACAAATAGGAATAGAAGTTATGAGGGAAACGGCTGCCTGGCTGGCTCAGTTGGTGGAGCGTGTAACTCTCAATCTTGGGGTTGTGAGTTTGAGCCCCATGTTAGGTGTAGAGATTACTGGAAAATTTTTAAAATCTTGGGCACCTGGGAGGCTCAGTGGGTTAAAGCCTCTACCTTCAGCTCAGGTAATGATCCTAGGATCCTGGGATAGAGACCCGCATCAGGCTCTCTGCTCAGTGGGGAGCTTACTTCCTTTTTCTCTCTCTCTGTCTGCCTGCCTCTCTGCCTGCTTGTGATCTCTGTCTATCAAATAAATAAATAAAATCTTAAAAATTTTTTTTAAACCTTTAAAAACATTATGAGAGAAAGACAAAAAGAATTGAGAAAGAAAGACAGAATAAAAACAGAAAAGAAAACAGAACGAGATAATAAAGGAAACATCAAGGAGGATACCGTTCCTAACAGCCACAGAAGATACCACTTATTAAACATGTAAATTTCTGTTAGGAAGTGCAAAACTGACGCGAACAAATTGAAGCACCACAATACTATTAAGCAAGTATTAAAAGTCCCACTTTTTAAGTGATAAAATTGAAATTCAGGAAGGTTAAATAACGTGCCAATTGTCACACACCTAGTTAAGTGGCAGAGCTGGAATTCAGATCTAGTTTTTTTATAAAAATGATCCATCTGGGGACGCCTGGGTGGCTCAGTTGGTTAAGCAGCTGCCTTCGGCTCAGGTCATGATCCCAGCGTCCTGGGATCGAGTCCCACATCGGGCTCCTTGCTCATCAGGGAGCCTGCTTCTCCCTCTGCCTCTGCCTGCCATTCTGTCTGCCTGTGCTTGCTCTCTCTCCCTCTCTCTCTCTGACAAATAAATAAATAAATTCTTTAAAAAAAAAAAAATGATCCATCTGCTATAAACTGAATGTTTGTGACCCCTTAAAACTCATATACTCAAGTCCTCCTTTTTAGATGGTATTTAAAGGTGGGTCTTTGGAAGATGATGAGATCATGAGGGTGAAGCCCTCACAAATGAGATCAGTGCCCTTATAGCACAGCTGTCAGAGAGCTCCTCCCCACTTGCACCATGTGAGAAAATAACAAGATGATGGCTGGACGCAGGAACCCAGCCCTCACCAGAAAAATGAAGCTGCTGGCACCTTGGCTTTGGCCTTCTGAACCTACAGAACTGTAAGAAGTAAACGTTTGTTGTTGATAAGGCATCCAGTCGATGGTAGTTTGTCACAGCAGCCCAAAGTGACTAAGAAACAGAAACTAGATACGATGGTGACACACGCTGAAGTAAAAAGAAAGATGGCTGGATGAAGGAAGGACTGGAATAACAAAGTGAGGAGGTCAAGTAAAGAAGTGACAGTGAGGAAAACGAAATCAGTGATCTGGAAGGTACACCTGAAGAGCTCCTTCTGAGTGTAAAGAATGTGATAAAGGATTCAAACGATAATGTAGAAGATGATAGCAGAAGAATGAAGAATGATGTGAAGAGGAAAACCACTGACACAGAAACAGTACTCAAATACAGAAATAAGACAACTTTTCAAGTTGGAAAAGACACACCCCCGCCACCCCAAAAAAGAGATCATAGGCAAACCTAGTTAAGATTCAGAATCAGACAGAAGTTTTAAGTTATAAGGATAAGTTAAAAATTAGAGACACATCTAGGTGAGTGAAATAGGTGGTGGGCAAAGGCACAAAATTAGACTGGTCTCTAAAAAGTAAAGTACAGACCCAGGGAACATATTGCCTCCTGAGAATTTTATATGCAACAGATTCAATATTCCCATCTTAAGGCAGAGCTAATAATCTTAGATGCTCAAGAGTTAAGAAAATAGAGAACCCACAAGTACTTCATGAATAAGTTACATGAATTCAAATTCTCGTCATTAAAAATATCTATCTATGAAAAACCCACAGTAAATATCATCCTCAATGGGAAAAAGCTCACAGCGTTCCCGTTGAGATCAGGAACACGACAAGGATGCCCACTCTCACCACTCTTGTTCAACGTAGTATTAGAAGTCCTAGCAACAGCAATCAGACAACAAAGAGAAATAAAAGGTATCCAAATTGGCAATGAAGAAGTCAAACTCTCTCTCTTCGCAGATGACATGATATTTTACATGGAAAACCCAAAAGACTCCAACCCCAAACTACTAGAATTCATATAGCAATTCAGTAAAGTGGTAGGATACAAAGTCAATGTTCAGAAATCAGTTGCTTTCTTATACACTAACAATGAAAATACAGAAAGGGAAATTAGAGAATTGATTCCATTTACTATAGCACCAAGAACCGTAAGATACCTGGAAATAAACCTAACTAAAGAGGTAAAGGATCTGTACTCGAGGAACTACAGAACACTCATGAAAGAAACTGAAGAAGACACAAAAAGATGGAAGACCATTCCAAGCTCTTGGATCGGAAGAATAAACATTGTTAAAATGTCTATACTGCCTAGAGCAATCTATACTTCTAATGCCATTCCGATCAAAATTCCACTAGTATTTTTCAAAGAGCTGGAGCAAATAATCCTAAAATTTGTATGGAATCAGAAGAGACCCCGAATTGCTAAGGAAATGTTGAAAAAGAAAAACAAAACTGGCGGCATCACGTTACCTGATTTCAAGCTTTACTACAAAGCTGTGATCACCATGACAGCATGGTACTGGCATAAAAACAGACACATAGACCAGTGGAACAGAGTAGAGAGTCCAGATAAGGACCCTCAACTCTATGGTCAAATAATCTTCGACAAAGCAGGAAAAAATATACAGTGGAAAAAAGACAGTCTCTTCAATAAATGGTGCTGGGAAAATTGGACAGCTATATGTAGAAGAATGAAACTCGACCATTCTCTTACACCATACACAAAGATAAACTCGAAATGGATAAAAGACCTCAACGTAAGACAGGAATCTATCAGAATCCTAGAGGAGAACATAGGCAGTAACCTCTTTGATATCAGCACAGCAACTTCTTTCATGATATGTCTCCAAAGGCAAAGGAAACAAAAGCGAAAATGAACTTTTGGGACTTCATCAAGATCAAAAGCTTCTGCACAGCAAAGGAAACAGTCAATAAAACAAAGACGCAACCCACAGAATGGGAGAAGGTATTTGATAAAAGGTTGATGTCCAGGATCTATAAAGAACTTCTCAAACTCAACACACACAAAACAGATAATCATGTCAAAAAATGGGCAGAAGACATGAACAGACACTTCTCCAATTAAGACATACAAATGGCTATCAGACACATGAAAAAATGTTCATCATCACTAGCCATCAGGGAGAGTCAAATTAAAACCACATTGAGATACCACCTTACACCAGTTAGAATGGCCAAAATTAGCAAAACAGGAAACAACGTGTGTTGGAGAGGATGTGGAGAAAGGGGAACCCTCTTACACTGTTGGTGGGAATGCAAGTTGGTACAGCCACTTTGGAGAACAGTGTGGAGATTCCTTAAGAAATTAAAAATAGAGCTTCCCTATAACCCTGCAATTGCACTACTGGGTATTTACCCCAAAGATACAGATGTAGTGAAAAGAAGGGCCATCTGTACCCCAATGTTTATAGCAGCAACGGCCACAGTCGCCAAACTGTGGAAAGAACTAAGATGCCCTTCAACGGATGAATGGATAAGGAAGATGTGGTCTGTATACACTATGGAGTATTATGCCTCCATCAGAAAGGATGAATACCCAACTTTTGTAGCAACATGGACAGGACTGGAAGAGATTATGCTGAGTGAAATAAGTCAAGCAGAGAGAATCAATTATCATATGGTTTCACTTATTCGTGGAGCATAAATAACACAGAGGACACACAGAGATGGAGAGGAGAAGGGAGTTGAGAGAAATTGGAAGCAGAGATGAACCATGAGAGACTATGGACTCTGAAAAACAATCTGAGGGTTTTGAAGGGGCGGGGGGTGGGAGGTTGGGGGAGCCAGGGGGGGGGGATTATGGAGGGCACGTATCACATGGAGCACTGGGTGTGGTGCATGAACAATGAGCCTGGTACGCTTAAAAAAAATTAAAAAAAAAAAAAAAAAGAACAAAGATGAACTGGGGCACATGCACCCCAATGTTTGTAACAGCAATGTCCACAATAGCCAAACTATGGAAAGAGCCCAGATGTCCATCGACAGAGGAATGGATAAAGATGTATGTATATATACACACAATGGAATACTATGCAGCCATCAAAAAGAATGAATCTTGCCAGGTGCAATGACGTGGATGGAACTACGGGGTATTATGCTAAGCAAAATAAATCAGTCAGAGAAAGATAAAAGACATATGATTTCACTTGTATGTGGAATTTAAGAAACAAAACAGATGAACATAGGGAAGGGAAGGAAAAATTAAGTAAGATGAAAATAGCGAGGCAAACCACAAGACATACTGAACTCTAGGAAACAAACAGGGTTGCTGGAGAAAGGTGGGTGGGGGATGGAGTAAGCAGGTGATGGGCATTAAGGAGGGCACTGGGTGTTATATGCAACTGGTGAATCACTAAATTCTACCTCTGAAACTAATAATACAGTCTATATTAACTAAATTGAATCTAAATAAAGAAATAAAAACAAAGATGAACCAAAATTAAGAACTCAAGAGTTAAGATTTACGGAAGACCAGTAGTTCTCACTAAAACTAGGACAGAAGAATGTAAATAAATTTATAAATGTAATTATGAAACATTTCAAGCCAAAGCAAATTTTCTTTAAAAAAAGATACAATATATCAAATAATAGTTTAACTTTAATAACCTGAAAGCAAAAATTCAGATTATTTTTAATGGCTAAAATGGGAGCAGACAGAGAGGAATAGGATTGGAAAGGAAGATGTGTATGGTGGATTTAAACGAAGTAGGGGAAAACCCAACACCTACCCTTTCATTTCAGCCTTTAATAATGATAGGATTCTAGATTGAAGAATATTTTCTGAAAACATATGGGTTACCAATTGTAGAAGTAAAAATAAAAGGTATACCTCTAAAGCAGGGTGAAAATAACCAGTGAAAGCATAGTTCATATAGCAAAGATGGGGAAAACAAAATAAGAAAGCATACACTTAAGGAAAACATAAAACAGACGACACCAATAAGACCAAACATAGCAGGCAGGATTATAAATGTAATGGCAGCAAACTCCCTACTAAAAAAGTTTCACATTGGGTAAAGCATTTACAAATGCATTGAAAAAAGGCACTTTATTTATTTAAAAAAATATACATATGTTTTGAATTTCAACGCTAATAGTGGTAAACTGAGGGAAGGTGGGGTGAAACTGTGAAAATTTTAGAGGCAAAAGTAAACTTCTTTTAAAGGGGTAATCGGGCACCTGGGTGGCTCAGTTGGTTAACTGTCTGTCTTCTGCTCAGGTCATGATCCCAGGATCCTGAGATTCACTGGGTTCCATGCTCAGCAGGGAACCTGCTTCTCCCTCTCCTTCTGCCTTCCCTCCCTCCAACTTGTGTTCTTGCTCACTCTGCTCTCTCAAATAAATAAATTAAATTAAAAACAATAAAGAAAAGAGGTGGCGTATGAAAATAAAACTTTTTCCTCTTTTTATATTTCTACTTTCTACCATGGAAGTAGTTCGATAATTTATATTTGGGAGGGGAGGGAATTACTATTCTCCAAAAAAGACAATAAACACAGAAAACCCAGAAGGTTTCATTAGAAATAGTAAAACAAAAATATTAAACAAAATAGAATGTCAATAGACAGAAAAATGAGTAAAAATTTTATACACACACAATTATCCCACCAGGAGCAGCTCAGCCTGAACGAACTTCAACAGCTTAGAATGGGGAATTCAGGCCATTAAAAGGTTTAGGATCAAAGGAAAGGACCCCTTCCTCTAACAGGCAGGGAACACTGAAAGTATCAAGAGAAAAATTATAGAACAAGAAGCAGAACAGGGCCTCAGTTGCTTTCTTTTTCTCATGGGCTCTTTTCCCAAAACTGATACTGACAGAAAAATGTTAGCCTCCTTTTAAAAATGTCTTCACTTGCTTTTATTCCAAACGGCCAATGACTTCACCATTTTATCTCATTTAGTGATCTCCTAGTGAATTAACGTCAGTGTAATCCGCTCACCAGTCTTTTTATGGTGTGTAAATGAACTCACAAGACTTACAAAAGGAAAATTATTTAAAATAACCAAAGTGGGGTGTCTGGATGATCTCCAGGTCCTGGGATCAAGCCCCCTAATGGCCTGTGTTCTCAGTGCAGTCCCTCTCCTCCCCCTCCTCCCCTTGCTCCCAGGCAGGTGAGCCTTTCTCTCCCTCAAATAAATAAATAAAATCTTTAAAACAATCAAAGTAGTTCTGAACTGAGGGACTGTTAAAAGCAAACTTAACTCTCAATTCTAATTACTAAAAAACAAAGGAATAAGCAGCTTACCGAGTGAACCCAATATGACCAGAATCGTTAAGATCCACACAAGTACTCTTGAAATATACCTGATTATCACCATCAGAATCATGGATAGAACTGCAGGGAAGACAGAGAACACGTAGAATATTATTTTAAAACACTGGAAAATCTAAAGAGAAACTCTTTCAACTGTTTTCTCCTAGGGATACAATTGGTCGCTACTGATACGTTCAAGAACCCAATTTAGGGACAAAGGTTAACTGACTACTTCTGCGCTTTGACTTTGGTACTTGCGGCACTGGAAACCAAAGGCACCTAACCGTGGGTTTATAAATGACAGAAAAGAACACATGCAAATGCAACATGGTGACTCCAAAACAGCACACAACTGTTGTGGATTCACCACGGGAAGACATCAGAACTCACATGCAAACAAACATGCCAACACACAGAGTGGAGAGAGTGATGTGTAGTGTTGGTGATTGGAAAAACTACCACACACAGACAGAGATCAGTTAAAGTAAGTGCTACGCTTCCTGGAGTAACCCTTGCATTTCAAGACCAACTTCTCTGATAGATGGTCCACGCACTAGACAGTATTTTATCTTTTTATCGTTTCTCTTCTGAAATTCCAAAAAATGCTCTGACCCTACGGAATAATATCCTGAAGCCTCCTGAGGCCCAAATTCCTTTAAACTTACTTCTTGACTGGGGTCAGGGGTCCTGACTGATTGAGAGACTCTTCAAAAAAGAGCAAAGCTCAGTTTGAGTTATTTAGCCAATGCCTCTACCCAACCCAAGCTAAATTCCAACATGCTAAAATCTTGAGTGAAAGAAATCTTAAAAAAGAAACCAGGAAGATTTGACCTTTGCATGGGGAAATTCGTTTCTGAAATCATAATTTGTTCTTCTTTAATTAACTAAAGGCCCATGTTACCAACAAATGAACAAAGATCTTAAGCCTCAAGAGAACCATTCCAATAAAAACTGGAATTCCAATGGTTTCACATTATTAGCACGATTTTTAAGGTTTCGTTTTTCTTTTCTTGGTTAAAGTCATCAACTATTTCAGAAACCAAGTAACTTTTTCGTAAAGCTGGACTAATTCAAGTTTTTTGGGGGACCATTTGCAAAGCCAAATAAACGGTCAGGATCTGTGACTAGGTAACATTATTAAGGTACTCACTTTTGCAATAAATGTACAGGAACCAAAAACAGATGGGAGCGTTTCAAATATCACAGAAATAGCTTTTCATATGGACAGCATTATTTCAATTGAGTCAAGTACTACCTAAGCAAAAAGAAAATACTCTCTAATGACAAGATGGAAATACAGCTAGTCTTCTCAATGACTATAATTGTTAACAGGCATAAATACTCATTTTACTTATACAGTGAAAGAGGTGCTTGGTTCCTACCACAGTTTACTCCTCCCAGCTAAAAAGAGCTTAGATTCTGATACGGTTACATATGGTTCTAGGATAACCCAGGATATTTACATCTTGAAAATCACATTTACTTTATCTATTGACAAGAAAACTCAAGGGCTAACAAGTGGAGATTTCCTAACTTTTCCAGCAATACAATGGTATTATGAACTGTAGCAATGAAAAAAAAAAAAACATACTCAAAAAGTAATCTATCAGAAAGCTTTGCTCTTTGATGGAAATAGAGAAGAGACTATGTGGCTCTTTTTTATAAGCCTCTGGAATCATAACTAAAAACAAAGGGGGTACTGATTCACTAAAAGAAGCCTCTTGCTATCATATTAAATGTTATTATAGACAGTAACCAGTTTGGGAAAACACCCGTTATCTCCAATGAGAGAAAAAGAAAGTTTCAGATATATAAATATAAATATATATATATATTTAAATATGTATATATTTATAACTCTATATAGTCTGAAACAATTATGTTGGCTATGGGAAGTTAAACATTGTACAGGTATCCCGGTTGTATTCATATTTTGGTTAAAAGACAGAACAGTCTTCTACTGCAGTACTATGCAATAGCTAATAATGAGAAAAACAATTACCTAGTGATAACAAGCAAAGTCCCAATATAATTTCTTTGCTGGTCATTACTCCACTAATCAGCCTGTGTAAGACACTATTGTCACTGACAAAGGTGATCAGGGCCTCTGCAAACTTGGCATAGCAGGAAATGTTCACAGGAGCACAGCGATGGAAGAATGGAATAGGTGCACTGGTGATACAAGAAAAAAAAAATCAGAAAAAAAATTACTCCTACTTAATATAAATGCCACATCAAACACACAAATGAAAGGTGGTTATGACTGCAACACACTCCACCCTCCACACATCATATGGGGGCCAAGAGCTGTGAGCTTAATGCTATGAGGATGACTGTCATGGGCAGGGATGCGAATCTTACCACAGGCCTTATCAGAGAGGGTGGAGTGCATATTCCAAAGGAAGACATTACCCTCCCCTTCTGGAAAGAAACACACGCACATATACACGCACATACGCACGTACAGAATACAAAAAGCAAAAGCAAACACTTAAACTCCTTCGCCTGTACATCCATCGGTCAATGGGCAGATGACAAAACTTACAAACATATACTTCATTGGACTGAAAATGACTTTTTGCCGTAAGCTATTTAAAACTAGAAAACACACATGCTTTTTGCTTGAAATGTTCCACCGTGAATACAAAGTTTCCTCTATCAGAACAGCATACAAAACCTTGCATTAAGAAAAGGTGTGTGGGGCACAAGCTTATTAACTCTCTTATCAATTAATCATGCCAAGACATCAACATACAACATAATATGTGGCTGTTTAAAATAATAACCATGGATACTAACGTATGGAAACAATTAGGAGGTAATAGTACAAGGGGAAAGAAGCAGAAATTTGATCTAATGTGATGGTTGCCAACTCTGTACAAAAAAGAGAAACATAAGAATGACAACAGAAAAAATATAAGTAAATGAAAAAATTTGTTAGGGTCATGAGATTCTGCATGGTTTTCTTTTTATATGTCATTATGATTATGAGATTATTTGTGTCCAAAAATGAGGTCATTGGTTCTATCAGGTTCACACTGACCACAGGGCTCTTCTTGTGAAGGAACACAGCTATGTACGAACAGTGATGTAGCTCTGGTTTGTTAGAACATATTCTATTTTAGCCTTTGAGACTATGGTATTTATCTGATCAACAGGAGAGTCTAAAAAAGTTCTAAGAACATGTCCCCAGTTGTGAGTTGTATGGATTCTAACAGAATCCGTATGTCTGTCCGTACACGAATACACACGTCTGTGTGCATTAAGTTAAAGGTTAGCCACTGTTAACACAAATCTCAGATTTTCAGAATTATTTGTAGAACTATCAGTCATAGCTCTAATATAACTCTGTTGATGGCAATGAGCTAAGCGTGCTCTCATTCTTGGTTGGCACTGTATTTGGGTCAAATTCGTGACTAAGAATATATGACTAAATATCAAATTCCAAGGTTTCTGATCCCAGCAAAGCAGTTTTGTCTGAACTGAAGTCAAACAGTATCTTTGTTTCCTTCCATGGAAAACAACAAAAATATTTCTTTTCAAATAAAAATATAAATGTACTAGGTACATTTACACCAATGGGAGTAAGAATAGGCAACATATTCCATGCTGTTAAACTTCATGGAACAACAAAACAATAAAAATAAAGATCAAGTCTTACCTTAGTTATGCTTTGGTAAAATGTATCCCAAAATAATGACGTGACATTATGACATGAATGTTCACTTAAAAAAAGAAGTGTCTCTTGTGACTTGTGGGTGTTTTTGTGTGTACCTTCAAAACAGGACTGGTGAAATTTAATGCCTAAGATTTGATGTTTTGTCAGAAATTGCAGAAAGTCAGAGCATTCTGAGCAATGCTTAAATTAAAGGTATGCAAGCCATTGTTTTTGACAAAAGTTGTTTCACTAATGATATAAAAAGCTATTAAATTACAGAATATCTTTCAGTGAAATGAATTTATTCAGAAATATTATAGGAAAGCATCAAAAGAATTAACCATAAGTTCACAGTCAACGGTGGCTAATTTAGGACAAGAAAACTTTGTTGTGACCTACAACTATTTTTCTTCCTGAAGCTGTCTATCTAGGTAATGTCCCTGCCAGGTTAATGTCTCTAAGGACTTCTAACCTTATTTTTAACTAAAGCCTGAGTTCTCTGTCTTTCAAAACCAAAATCTTCTCTGCTCTACAATTACCTGTACCCTCAGCTGCTTTACTCATAACCCTATCATTTCTGGTGTAGCCTCTGTTTAACTCACTTGCCTCCAACCTTGAACATAAAACATATCTACCTTAAGGATACAGATGCCACCTTCTTGCTTTCGATATCCACCAATTTTCTAGCCCTGCTCTGTTTTCCATTTTCCTGTCATATAACCATAAGTATTATCCCTCCATCCAGAGGCAGCTCCACATCTACCTCCCATATCCTAGCAGAATGCTGCTTTAGTTTTAGGCTCAAAGAGAAATATGCATCATTTCCAAAAGACAGAGGGGTCTGTTACAACAGGAAAACAAAACTGGACGAGTTCGAAAGCCTTGGGTGATCCCCTTAACATTACACAATTGCATTCTTAGCTAAAAGAGTAGGAGTAATGATGATAATAATAAATAGGAATGGAGCCCAGCCATAAGTCAGTGATTCTAAATCAATAGGAGCAGCATATCCAGTAGCGTTCATGTTTTTCTGCTTTTCAGACTTATAATAAGGATAGATGGCTGAAAGGGAAGGATTATATTCTTAAAATTCAAATCTTTTATTTCTATTTAAGAGTTAATGCTGACTAATACCTGTTCTCTTACCCTTTCAAGTCACATTTATACTATATCTAAACTCTTGGCTAATTGGAAGGAGTACTTTTACAAGTCTCCTTCAAAGAACTAAAGCAACGTAACAACAGTGCCTTAAAATTTAATCTCTATCAATTTAAAAAAAAACCTGACAGCTCTAAACTTGAAGGTATAAGATTAGCACAGACTGATTACATTGTCTAGCTGATGGTCAAAATGGTCAAAATTGTTCTTAGCGGTAGGGAATATCAGAAATAGAAGGCAAATAAAAGAGAAGACAGTATTTGGACACAGTAATAACAAAAGTTAAAGAGTTAGTTTTTTGTTTTTTGTTTTTTTTAAAGATTTTATTTATTTATTTGACACAGAGAGAAATCACAAGTAGGTAGAGAGGCAGGCAGAGAGAGAGGGGGAAGCAGGCTCTCTGCTGAGCAGAGAGCCCAATGCGGAGCTCGAACCCAGGACCCTGAGATCGTGACCTGGGCGAAAGGCAGAGGCTTAACCCACTAAGCCACCCAGGTGCCCCTAGAGTTAGTTTTAAAGTAAAAAGCACTACACTTCCTTGTCATTCTTTTCCTCTACTGTTCCCCAAACAAAAACAACCGGCCATGAGTTTTTAATACTCAAATGACATTCTTGTTAAAAAACAAAACAAAACAAAACACCACAAAACCTAAGTAATCATGGCATTGAAATGATTTTTCTTCTACTTTATCGCTTATATCCTATGTGACATAACGAATTCGAATTAGCTGATTTCATATATCTCTCAGAAAAGAATGCTTCTGAGAACCTTGTATGTGAGATCTTTTCTACTTTAGTGTCTAACCTAAATGACACACTTTGTGCTTCTTAATTAAGAGGATAAGCATAAAGAATTCTATTTATAGCAACTTTTCCTACCTTTCGAAGCCCACAGAATATTGAATCTTTATGAAGTCAATGTAGTCCCATTAGGAACTGATGCTGTTTCACATTATTGAAACATTAGTCAACAAGAACAAAATGAATTTATAATGAGTCTTTTAAAGATTTTTAAAAATTAGCTCAGAGGGATATTGTATCTTACCTTGGCAAACATACTATTTGCCTTAAGTCCAGACTATCAGTTAGTGAGCGCCCCTCCCTCAAAGTCCGATGACAAACAATGCCTAGTATCCCTCATCCATATGCCTTCATAAGAGAAGATAGGAGTTTGCATCTCACACAATGATCTTAAAACTTCAGGTTATAAAAAAGTAATTACACATGATTTCTAATGAAAAATTTTACTTAAGAAAGAATAGTAAGAAAGGATTCTTGACAGCCCAGAAAATGTAGAAAATAAATCAAGACTCTAATGGCAATACTCAGTGGTTTTTCATGTATTTCATTTTATTTATTTTCTCTCCTTTCCTTCCTGTACTCTTTTTAAAAATTTTAATCTTTAATTTTTTTTTAATAATTTATTTGACAGAGAGAGATCACAAGCAGGCAGAGAGGCAGGCAGAGAGAGGAAGGGAAGCAGGCTCCCTGCTGAGCAGAGAGCCCGATGCGGAACTCGATCCCAGAACCCTGAGATCATGACCTGAGCAGAAGGCAGCGGCTCAACCCACTGAGCCACCCAGGCGCCCCTAATCTTTAATTTTTTAAAAAGTAGGCTCCAATTCCAATGTGGGGCTTGAATTCATGACCCTGAGATCAAGTATCATGTGCTCTCTACCAAATGAGCCAGTCAGGCGGCCCCCACCTTTTTCCTTTTTTTTTTTTTTTCCCAATCTAACTGTGGTATAGGACTTTGCTTGGGGAAGATGGCAGAGTAGGAGGACCCTAAGCTCACCTCATCCCATGTATTTAACAAGATAACACTCACATCAGTATAAAACTGTGGTATAGATTTTACAAGATCTTAGATTAAATATCTGATTCCTAACAATCAACTGTGTGACTTTGCACAAGCCCTTTAACTTCTCCTATCTTCTATTTCCTCATCTATAAATTAGGAACAATATCCTTATAGGCTTTGTGAAGATTAAATAAGACAATACACGTGAGAAGCTTAATATGGTGACTGGCACCCAACAGATATTAACAAGTGTTAATTTATGTGGAATCCTTTATTTTAAAAATACGATAAACAGATAACACTTTTTTTTCTTGGCTATTAGTTTCTCATGTCCATATCATGTTTTTAATTCCCCAACACCTAATATCCTTTCTGGCATCCAGCAATAGTAAAATAAATGTTTGGTGAATTTACTGAATTTATGTAATGTTTGTACTACTGCAGTTTTCTTTAACTACACCTAAACCTTTAAGCATTTTAGGTATAAGGGATAGTCTCCCTACGGCTACTACTCTCCATCATGTCACCAAGTTATAAATTTGGATAAAACATGGCCCTTTCTAGGCATCTGCTTTTAAAATTCAAAAGCTCGGGGCACCTGGGTGGCTCAGTCGGTTAAGTGTCATGGCTCAGGGCATGATCCCAGGGTCCTGGGATTGAGCCCCACGTTGGGCTCTCTTCTCAGCAAAGAGTCTGCTTCTCCCTCTGCCTCTGCCCCTCCTCTGCTTGTGCTTTCTCTCTTTCTCTCAAATAAACAAATAAAGTCTTTTAAAAAAATAAAATAAAATAAAATTCAAAAGCTCTTAGGAATAGTCCCCATTTGGCAATTATGTGGTATTAGTGTTTTACTGCAAATTAGCTTATAACTGCTTTTCTCTAAGAAACAGGCATTGCTTTCAATGGCAGAAGGTGCCCAGGCACCCAGGGAGGTTAGGGGTGAAAGGGAAGGCTCTAGAGCTTAAGAGAAATATTACTCCCTAAGCCAGATGCCAAGCACAATAATGGATGCTTAAAACATATGCTCTTACTTAATTCTGACAATTCCAAGACAGAGGTATTAATATTGCCGTTTTACATGTGAGGACACTTGGTTCATAGACAGGTGAAAAGACTTGCTCAAGCTGACAAAGAGAAGGTGATGACACAGCATTCACCCCCAGGCCTAGCTGGACTCAAAGTGCAGCTCTTTCTGTCCCACTAGGGTGCTCCTAGGAGGAGAACAAAAGAGACATGAACGATGCTAAGGGCCATTTGCCTGCATCATGCTTTGCCTACTGTCCATCTTTTGGTGTATACAAAAAGTCACCAAAACCAGTAGGTTTTTTTTGTTTTTGTTTTTGTTTTTTTAAAGGACAGAGCTTCTTAAGGACAGAGACTAGATCTTACTCATCTTTGAAGATGTGGTCTCTAATGTGAGGTGGGAAATGTGGTATTGCCCCCAAGTTTTTATTACAACCAATTCACTGTTTTCTGATCTTTGCACTTTGCTTGCCAAAGGCTAAATGACACTGTTCACCAGGTCCTAATTTGATTTTCTTCCATCAACTGTTACTTCTTTGTTTACTTTCCAAGGCTGAGCTCAGATAAAAATGATAAGATCCTTAGACTGTGAGGTACTAAATTAAATAAAACCCAAGGATCTTTAAATAAAGTATAAACAGAGTTCACTGTCAGTTTTCAGATGGTTTAGGGTCATCACTGCAGCTTAGACTACTGGACATCAGTGGACAATCTTGCTAGAAGCCAAGTCTGTCCATGTCTAAAACACAAGCCCTTAATACTATGTCTTATCTTCTAGTGAATACCCCTCAGGACGCCGTATGTAAGATGTGTGAGCTCTGTATGGCCAAGAAAGGAACACCTGAGATACCAGAAAGAGGCAGCCCTCAACATGGTGGGGTCAGAGGTGAAGGAGGATTTACCTGAGCCCTGCCCCATCCTTACGCATGTACAGAGCAACCTCATCCTCACATCAAGGCTTTCCGGTTATCCTTTTATAATATGTTTATATCTTAAAATATGACTCTATACTCATAGTAGGCATTTAAAACAGGCTGTTTTAAAGTTCGAGTAGATAAGAGGACAGAGCCTTTCTTGTCTTTACATTGATACATTTTCTCCAACTACTCTATTCAAAGGACCTCCTTTTCTTACTGTTACAGCTTCCCTAATATTCTCAACGGTCACAAATGGGGTCTCTTTACCTATAGGTCTAAACCCATGATTTATAGGTCCCACTTGTTAGTATCTTTTAAAATAGTCCCTTTATTTTCATTTCTGTAGGCTTTACATTTTAACTCCAATAGCAAGTTGACAAGACTAAAAGAGCTGGACATCAATGAAACTGATAGATCCTTTGTCTACTTTTCAACAGAAATTTCCACATTTCATTCAAGTTAATAAAGCACAAGTTACACCCATTAGCAAGCCAAAGGAAAGCACACATAAGATCAGTCTCAACATTTTAATCAGTAGCTTGCTATAATATACCAAGATATAATAAAAGTGGCTTCAATTCAGTATTCCTGGTGAAGTTGACTCATGGCATACCTGGTTGATACACACTTAAAGTTCTCAAGATGAGACATGCTTCTAAATGCTATTCACCTAATTCTAGGGACATGTTCTACAATGCTTGCAAATTTATTTCCTCATTGAAAAAACCATTTATAATTTTAAAGTTGCTTCCCTTAAAACTACTGCGAGATCCCTGTAAAGATTATTTCCTGTCTCTTCTTTGTATCCAATATATGCAGTAGGTACTGAAATACTCAGTGTTTGTTGAGTAAGACCTTGGATAAGATAAGGCACACAGTGTATTAATATAGAGAATGTACCTAAAAGATGCAGCTTGAAATAAGGTATGGAGAATAATCACTGGCATATGTTTTAAATTTACAAAGTAAATTAAAAATAATCCCAGTATTACTAAGATCAACTTCAAAGAATCTTTGGAGACTGCGAGACTTGGCTTCTAATTTTGCTATAGATTTTGCAATGATTCAGCAGTTGTATATTCTTAAAAATTATGGCATTAAAAAAAAAAAGTGAGCCCTCAAAAGAAATTTAAAATCTGAGAATGAGAAAAAAGTTATTTGCCTCTGTGTGTGTGTGTGTGTGTGTGTGTGTGTGTGTGTGTTTTAAGATATGAAATACATGCTGTCATTTCTAGTATTATTTTCTAAATTTTGTGATAAAAGTATTGGTCCTGAGCAATAGGCATCATCAAGTGACTCTTTCCCCAGGATAATATATAGAGTTTAAAATCTACCTACAAAAACAAAAGTCACAAGTTCACAAAATACAATAAAATTTACCTCGCTGGAACTGGTAGTTTGGGGCATAGAACAGAAGCTTTTGAAGATGTAGTATATTCAGAAGGCTTTAGGTTGTAGCTACATAGTGCTGATCCTGTTGAAAGAAAAGCTGGATGTTAGCTAGCAGAACAGAGCCTCAAATTCTCTCACTGATTCATTGTATTCACTTTATATGTTAATATTAATTCAACATATTAATTCAAACACTATAGAATTAATAAGAATCTGATTTTGTCTTTAGTATCCGTCTTCAATCATTTAAAACTGATTCCTCAGGGCACCTGGGTGGTTAAGCATCTGCCTTAGGCTCAGGTCATGATCCCAGAGTCCTGGGATGAGCCCTACATCAGGCTCCCTGCTGGGTGGGAAGCCTACTTCTCCCTCTCCCACTACCCCTGCTTGTGTTTCCTTGCACTGTCTCTCTCTCTGTCAAATAAATAAATAAAATATTAAAAACAAAAACAAAAAAAACTGATTCCTCTCGGATAATTTATGTACAAACTTTAATTAATGATATTAAGGATAATAACAATAATAAGTACTAGAACTACCTTTACTGAGTGTCTGCCATATATTAGCCATTTTAAAATAAAATGTGAAGTGAAAACGGCAGGTTTTAACATTGAACTAATTATAGAAATGTCATGTGAGGATGTAAGAAAGAATTTCAAGAGAATACAGAAAAAAGATTTGCTAGGACAACAAACAACCTTGAGAATGGTTTTATTTCATCTATATTTTGTCTTATCAGTCAAAAGAACTTTTAAAAAGTCACAAACCTGCATTTAATTCAGTAATACTGCCCTCAAATCAGCAACCAACTTGCTAAGTATTTAAATATTTAAGGTCTAGATATCATACTTACAAAAAAAAAACCAAGTCGCCATCTATTTTATATAAAGATAATTCAAGTAATTTGACAATGTAAGGTACTTTTTATTTTTTAAGGATTTTATTTATTTATTTAATTGACATATAGAGAGAGAGAGAGACAGCAAGAGAGGGAACACAAGCAGGGGGAGTGGGAGAGGAAAAAGCAGGCTTCCAGCCCAGCAGGGAGCCTGATGTGGGGCTCAATCCCAGGACCCCGGATCAAGACCTAAGTTGAAGGCAGAGGATTAACGACTGAGCTACCCAGGCACGCATGTAAGGTACTTTTAAAAAAATATTTATTTACTTATTTGAGAGAGAAAGAGAGACAGAGACAGAGAGAGTGTGCCAGGGGAGGGAGAGAGGAGGAAGGAGAAGTGACCCTCTGCTGAGCAGGGAGCCCAACTCAGGGCTGGATCCCAGGACCTTGAGATCATGACTCGAGCCGAAATCAAGAGTTGTATGCTTGACCGAATGAGCCCCCCAGGCACACCTTGACAACGTAAGGTATTTTACAAGAGATACTTGAAAGTTACACGGCACTATTCATGTTTCCACCACTTCTTAAGATAGATTCAGTAGGAAACTTAAGTTTCTGAAACTGTTTCAGAACATCCTTTTCCATGTTAATGACTTATTTATTTTAAGTTAAGCATGAATATTAAATATCTACTTCTTCTAAAATTAGTCTTTTGTCTTTGAAGATAATGCCACCAGATTCTATTTACAGCAGTTTCGGAGAAACCATGACAACAGTGGAAAGCAAACATTTTAGATTAATCCTGAAATATCTGGAGTCTGACTATAGAACCGCTCAGGAAAAACACAGCAACCATGCCAGTCACTGCAGAGCGCCCAACAGGATCATCAACTTCCTGATCTGAATTGTCAACTTCTTTCTTTCAGGGTCTAAGACGGAATCGATTTGCACAATATGAAAGGGCCTAACTAAGGCACTGTGCCAGCACCGTCAAACACACTGCTCCATCTGAATTCAGTGAACATAATCTCTGTCCCCACCCTTTCTTCATTTAAAAAAGGAGGTCAGCAGGTGCAACAGAGTTCAATTTTATAAATACTTTCCCAGGATAATGCTCAATGAAAGGATAATAGCCTTATCTCTGATGGTATTCTGGGACATAGGCCAGTACTAAGTAGATCCTGTACTAAATAGATTAAAGGAAAAAGATCTTTACAATGTAGTAACAATCAGAAGAAACCTTATAATGCTTCCTGCTCAAAGGGCTGATGGAGAGAGAAGCTTCAATGCAGAACATTAAAACAACCCAGTAATGGCAAGCATTTTGCAATTGTTTCTCTTTTCATGTTGATTAGCTGATGCATTTTCAGTGAACATTTTTAAGGTGGTATCCATTTCTCTCTCTCTCTCTCTTTTTTTTTTATAGTGAGAGTATAAACAATACTTAGCACAAGAGGTTTGGTCATAAAGAGTAAGACAAAGTTTTTCTTCTAACGCAAAAGGTAGGGGAAACCATACTTGAGTAATGAAGTCTAAAACCAAAAACAAAAGCTTATCTAAACCACACCAGAGGCAATCCATGCAACTCAGCCAATGTTACTCAAAATGAGTGATCTTAGGAAGCCAACTTCCATATATAAACATTTATCTTGGTAAACAGTTGCCACAGTCCCCAGAATGTTTAACTACCATAATTTTTCAAATGCCTTATAATATTCAATTATTTATTCTTTAGCTCAATATCACTTATAAGAACTCCCCTAAGAGGTATGTTTCCATCACCAGACTCCAAACATTACAGATGAAAAAAATAAGTAATACTTCCAAGGCCTTTATAAGCAATCACTGACAAATTTAGGAATAACATCCTTTACTCCTAGGCCACAATACTTCTTATGTGCCATTTCTAAATATCATAATCAGACAAATATTCAATAAGCTCTGGGCAAAAAACATATATCCCACAGATATCTCAAAAACTCTTCTCTATATGCTGCACACAGCCTTGAAAATGGTCTTTGTGCGGTGCCTGGGTGGCTCAGTGGGTTAAGACCTCTGCCTTTCGGCTTGGGTAGTGATCCCAGGGTCCTGGGATTGAGCCCCACATTGGGCTCTCTGCTCAGCGGGGAGTCTGCTTCCTCCTCTTTCTCTGCCTGCCTCTCTGCCTACTTGTGATTTCTGTCAAATAAATAAATAAATAAATAAATAAATAAATAGAAAATGGTCTTTGTAAAATGGTCCTTACTTGTAAACATCTTCCTGCCCTCAGGATAATTTCCAAACTTCTTGGCTTCAAAGCTTTCCTAAGGCAGAACTCTACCTAAAACTTCTAGCCTTATCTTAACATAATAAGCTACTTAAAATTTTGCTGTTTAAAAACTTCCAGGCTTTTTTGTATGCTGTTCCCTCTGCTTGGATTGTCTATTCCTGACGACCATCTGATTGAGTGTTCAAGTTTGAGAATTTCTACAAACTACTCAAGCCTCACCTCCCTCATTAAGCTTTCCCTGATGCACCCAAAGCTATTTAGTCCTCAGTTCTACTATAAAGCTTAGCATATTATTTTGTAATTTTTTTTTTAGCTTACATATTATCTCTATTTTTAGAAATTGAGCTCTTTGAGAACTGGGTCCTTATGCCTTCAAAATATGTGGGACCCGTCTCTCCTGGCACATAGACAGCACTCAAAAGCCATCTGTTGAAGATAACAGATATCATGACTAAAAAAAAACCCACAAAACTTATTTTTAATCGCCTATTTTGGTGTTACATGTTATATATAATGTTTATATGCTTTTCACCACTCACTACAAATTATACAAAGTATACAAATTATACTATGTAAAACAGATTTCTGGACCTTGGTATTATGACACTTGGAGCTGGGCAATTCTTGGTTGTAGGGAGCTGTCCTGTGCATTGCAGGATGTTTAGCAGTATCCTTGGTTTCCAGCCACTAGATTCCAGGACCCTCCCCCTAGCCCTTACCCCAGTTTTGACAACCAAAAATGTCTCTTAACACTGCTATGTGTGGTGGGGGTAGAATGGGGGGGGGGCATGTGGTAGCAAAACTACCCTTGAGAACCACTGGTCTAAAACACCAAATTAGAGGCGCCTGGGTGGCTCAGTGGGTTGAGCCTCTGCCTTCGGCTCAGGTCATGATCTCCAGGACCTGGGATCGAGCCCCGCATCGGGCTCTCTGCTCGGCAGAGAGCCTGCTTCCTCCTCTCTCTCTCTGCCTGCCTCTCTGCCTACTTGTGATCTCTGTCTGTCAAATAAATAAAATCTTTAAAAAAAAAAACCACACAAATTATTTGAAACAAAAATACAAAATGGGCTTGGTAAGTTGGAGGCTAATTCTTCTGGCTTTAAAATTTTGCTTGATTTGCTATCACAACGATATTTATAGGCTACACTAAATTAAGAGAAAAGATTCCTTATAAAACATACTTTAGAAAATTGTAGTTAATAAAAAAAAGAAAATCTCCCAATGCAGAACAGTGTCCATTACAAAAAAAGAAATTACACTGCTGTGTGGGGTCCAGTGAATTTAACCCTCTTCTCTCCAATGAGGAAAGCATATATATTTACACGCTGGAAGAATACAATTCCCATTTTCAATTTCCAGGAACCAACAAAAAGCAAGGACATATTTGCAGTTCCCAAGAAGCACCCATTAACTAGCTAGTGCTGTGACATTATCTGTCAACCACTATTAGCAGCAGATATTCTGTACATAATAAATCTTTGCTGAGTGAATTAATTTTGGACATCTATGTGCAAGACTTCTAGGTATTATGGAGGACAAAGAAAAGTTTGTCTTCTATCATGCAAGCTCCCTAAAGGGAACTGTACCTTTTCTTTGTTTCGCTGGCACACACTTCATGGGTGCTAATTAACTGTTGAATGAAGGAATTACTTAAAATCGCATTATCAAATATAAGGATTTTTTTCCCCCTTAACAATCAAGCTTCAAGGGAAGCTGATTTCTGCCGGTTTCTGACTTGGAGGCTATTAAAGCAATTGCTAGGGTCGATCATTTCATTCATTTGTAAGTGATATCAAGTCCAAGCTTTTGATTCACTGTGTCAAAAAGAATCCATAATAACTCTGTGGTTTAAGTTACATTGTTACTGACTGGTAGGAAAGAAGGTAATACTGATCATTGACTGATACTAACTTTAAACCTAACACCTAGATAATGACAATCAAAGGCTTGTTTCTATTCATAAATTTTATCTGAT